GGGGCAGCGGCGTCTGGTGGGGGCGAAGCAGGGCCCCACACCCTTGTTGGGGCTGGGGGCGACGATGAGGGACGGCGGGGCTTCTGGATCTGGGGCGGGGCGGGCACCCAGGTGGGCACTTGGCTGTGGGGGTGGAGGGTGAGGCGCAGGGCTGATCCTGCCGGGAAGGGATTGGGTTGTTGCCACCACCCTACCTGGCGGGGAGAGAGGCCCCGGGGACAGTGGCACCCGAGGGACAGTGGCACTCAAAGGGAGTGGGGCCCTGGGGACAGTGGGACCCAGTAGGGAGTAGGACCAGAACTGGGGATGGGACCAAGGGGTGGGCGACAGTGGCGCCTGAGGGGGCAGTGGGGCCTGGAGCAAGCGGGACAAGGGGATAGAATGTGTGTGTGTGTGTGGGGGGTAATTCTGGAGGGGACAGTTAGACTGGAGGGTGGGTAGAACCTGGGGAGTGGGCCCCAGGCGGGACAGTAGGGCCCAGGTGGATAGTGCAAGCCAGGAGTGGGGCTGAGACCCAGGTGGTGGTGGACAGTGGGACCCGGGGAAAGTGGGAGCGGGGTAGAACCTGGGAAGTGGGCCCTGGGACAGTGGGTCCTGAGGGGTGGGGCTGGCAGTCCCTGAAGGGTGGTCCCAGGCCGAGCATGGAGGGCCCAGGAGGGAGGCAGGAGCAGCCCGGGCTGCTGGCCTGGCCAGGTGGGGGAAGTTGTCCACTTTCTGGAAGGGAGGAAGCGTGGTAAGAAGTTTGTCAGCATTCCCTGACTTTGGCTTCCCACAACACTGTTAGTGTCCCGAAGTGTTCTTGCTCCCTGCTGGGCCCGCTCCCTCAGGTGTCCTGGCTCTGTGCTGCTGCTGCTGCTTCTGTGGGGGTGCCTGGCTGGTCAGGCACGTGATGTACAGCTGCTGGAGGGGCTGACTGTACCTGGCCCCCACCACCTGCACTGCCATTAGGTGGAGGTTCAGGCTGTGGAGTTTGGGGAGCAAATGGGAGGGTCCTGGGGAAGCAGACCCATGAGGAAAGAAAAGCTTTCAGCCAGCCTGGAGGGAGCAGCTCTGCACTTGGTCTAGAGCCGGGCACGGGAGACTTCATCCACCCTGCTCCCACGCCCCACCGTGGGCAGTCCCAGGACCCGGTTTCAGTCCCTCCATCTGTGTGCAGGGAGAGGCCACGGGGCACTTAATGGGACACCCAGAATCCGGGGTGGGCTTGAGCTTGCAAGCTTTGCATTCCCGCAAT